CATGTTCCCCATTGTAGTGAGCAGCATTCACATTGCCTGTTACCTCTACAACCACCTAAGGACTGTGTTTGGGAACCTGAGTTCGAATTCTGACTATGCTAGGTACTGGCTAGGAGACCTCAGGCATGGGACTTCATTTCTCTGAGCCTCAGTTTCTTCAGCTGTAAAATGGAGATAATACCACAACTGTTAAAGGGTTGTTGTGAAGAATTCATGAGTCACTAGTGAAAGCAAAAGTAATGATGCCATGTTCCTTCTTAGAAGACCTCAAAGACTCCTGTTGCCTTTGAAACAAAGTCAAACTCCTTCAAAGAACTCCACTGTCTATACTCAGCTCTCTTTTTTCCTAATGTATCTCCCACTACAATCCTACAGGCATTTTACAATCCAGCCATATCAGATTATTTACCATTCCCCAAGTGCTTTCACATATGTACCTTTTTGCTTGCTAACCCTCCACCTGGAATGCCTCCTCTCACCTCCTCTCTGATTCTCCCCACCCTGCTACCTCACTATATCCACCTGTAGCAGTCCTGCCCTTTCCTCATTGCCCAGCTCAAACCAGCCTTCTTTTTGCAGACTTCCTTAAATTTCACCAGTCACAAGTCATTTCCCCATCCCCAATACTCCCGTTAGGCTCTGTAGCTCTACTGTTACCACAGTTCTTTGTACATAACTGCTGCTTCCTCCAGACCAGTGTTTTGTAGTGTGGATCAGAATTACCTGGAGTTCTTGGTAGCAATTCAGACTCCAGGGCTCCACCCCAGCCCTGTGGAATCAAAAGCTCTGCAGATGAGTGCTGAAAATCTGCATTTTCACCAGCTCTCCAGGTGATTCTTAGGCTTACTTAAGTTCTAGAACATTTGCCCTACACTGAGACACCCCTCAAAAGAATCATACCTCATACTTCTGTGGATTCTTTCTCCCTCTGTATCTGTTGCCCTGGATATAGTAATCATTCAATAAACAAATTTACATATTAATTTAATGTGGCCACAAGGGGATCTTGGAATGGAAGTCAAAAATGCAAATCCCAAGAATTTTACAACACCTTCTCCAACTTAGTTTTCAGTGAATTTTACTCTAAAGGCAAGGGAAAGCACTCAAGATCTTAAGGATATCACAATGTATTATTCTCTCTTCTCTCCACATTTCCTAATCCACTATTAAGTTTTCAGAAATGTAAAACAAAAGGTATAGCTTTTAATTTCTACTATACTAGAAAAAGAACTCTGTGTAGCAATTCTTAATCAGAATGAGAATAATGTTCTTGCCCTTCATCCCTGCAGCTTTTAATATCTGTACACTATATTTAATCATCTAGGCCCCTTAATTTACTGACATTTAAATGATCTCAAATTAGATTTCCTGGAGCACTGTTCCAAATAAGTAACTTTTTCAGATAACGCAAGGTCTTATTAGTCGCAAATCATGCCACTTGCAGTTCTACACCTTCTTGAAAAATTACCCTATTTAAAGGATTTTTTTTCCATGTGGTAAGAGTCTATATAACTATGTAACCATCTGAGTTTTTACATTTTAGCCAGAATAATATCAAAATAGTGTAACATAACAGAGAAGAGGCTTCTTTCTCATCCTTAGTGCAAAGCAAGTTTGAGCACTTTAAATACTTTACATTTAAGTATGCGATAATATTTTTATATTTATGCCATATTATTTTCACATATATCATTACATTGGCTCCTCAAAATATCCCTGTGAGGCTAATAGACTTGCTATGTATGCAGCTATGGTCAACTTATCCATGACAAAGGAGGCAAGGATATACAATGGAGAAAAGACAGTCTCTTCAATAAGTGGTGCTGGGAAAATTGGACAGCTACATGTAAAAGAATGAAATTAGAACACTCCCTAACACCATACACAAAAATAAACTCAAAATGGATTAAAGACCTAAATGTAAGGCCAGACACTATAAAACTCTTAAAGGAAAACATAGGCAGAACACTCTATGACATAAATCACAGCAAGATCCTTTTTGACCCACCTCCTAGAGTAATGGAAACAAAAACAAAAATAAACAAATGGGACCTAATGAAACTTAAAAGCTTTTGCACAGCAAAGGAAACTATAAACAAGATGAAAAGACAGCCCTCAGAATGGGAGAAAATATTTGCAAATGAATCAGCAGAGAAAGGATTAATCTCCAAAATATATAAACAGCTCATGCAGCTCAATAGTAAAAAAACAAACAACCCAATCAAAAAATGGGCAGAAGACCTAAATAGACATCTCTCTAAAGAAGACATACAGATGGCCAAGAGGCACATTAAAAGCTGCTCAACATCACTTATTATTAGAGAAATGCAAATTAAAACTACAATGAGTATTACCTCCCACTGGTTAGAATGGGCATCATCAGAAAATCTACAAACAACAAATGCTGGAGAGGTGTGGAGAAAAAAGAACCCTCTTGTATTGTTGTTGAGAATGTAAACTGATACAGCCACTATGGAGAACAGTATGGAGATTCCTTAAAAAACTAAAAATGGAACTACCATATGACCCAGCAATCCCACTACTGGGCATATACCCTGAGAAAACCATAATTCAAAAAGAGTCATGTACCACAATGTTCACTGCAGCACTATTTACAATAGCCAGGACATGGAAGCAACCTAAGGGTCCATCAATAGATGAATGGATAAAGAAGATGTGGCACATATATACAATGGAATATTACTCAGCCATAAAAAGAAACGAAATTGAGTTATTTGTAGTGAAGAGGATGGACCTAGAGTCTGTCATACAGAGTGAAGTCAGAAACAGAGAAACAAATACCATATGCTAACACATATATGTGGAATCTAAAAAAAAAAATTGGTTCTGAAGAACCTAGGGTCAGGACAGGAATAAAGACGCAGACGTAGAGAATGGACTTGAGGACACAGAGAGGGGGAAGGATATGCTGGGACGAAGTGAGAGAGTAGCATGGACATATATACACTACCAAATGTAAAATAGACAGCTAGTCAGAAGCAGCTGCATAGCACAGGGAGATCTGCTCAGTGCTTTGTGACCAACTAGAGGGGTGGGATAGGGAGGGTGGAGGGAGATGCAAGAGGGAGGGGATATGGGGATATATGTATACGTATAGCTTACTCACTTTGTTATACATCAGAAACTAACACAACATTGTAAAGCAATTATACTCCAATAAAGATGTTAAAAAAAATAAGACACATGCACCCCCATGTTCATTGCAGCACTATTTACAATAATGAGGTCATGGAAGCAACCTAAATGCCCACTGACAGATGAATGGATAAAGAAGATGTGGTGCATATATACAATGGAATATTACTCAGCCCTAAAAAGGAATGTAATTGGGTCATTTGTAGAGATGTGGATGGACATAGAGACTGTCATACAGAGTGAAGTAAGTCAGAAAGAGAAAAACCAATATCGTATATTAACACATATATGTGGAATCTAGAAAAATGGTACAGATGAACCAGTTTGCAAGGCAGAAATAGAGACACAGATGTAGAGAACAAACGTATGGACACCAAGGGGGAAAAGTGGTGAGGGGTGGTGGTGGGATGAATTGGGAAATTGGGATTGACATATATACACTAATATGTATAAAATAGATAACTAATAAGAACCTGCTGCATAAAATAATAAATAAAACTTAAAAAACAAGAATGTATGCAGCACAAGAATAAAACATGAATGCCAGCTCAGAGGCAATGAAATATAAAACCAGAAATTGCTTCTTAATTCCTTTGTCAATTAAAAATAAATAAAAGTAAGTTAAGAGCTTGGCCTTACAGTTTTTCATTTTTTTGGTTTTTTTAAACAAAATTCACATTTTATTTAGGTTGAAATGAACTATACAAAATTGATTTTCTTCACCAAAAATAACGGCAATATTTTCTGTATTATTCCTAGATAAACCACAAAACACTTATCTTTGTAGGTTTTCCAGGTTTTGCTTGTAAATCAAGATGAGGCAATAGATACAGTCATGGAAAAAGACAGAAGAAAACAGATGTATCAATTGTCACTGTCAATGACCTCTGATCCTGTCTTGACCATGAAACAGAAGTGTTCAACATATACCTGCCAAAAAGCTTATGAAGATGTAGGCTCAATAAAGGAATGTAAACAGCAAGAACCAGATGTGGAACAATGGCAGGCTCTTCCATTCAAACTTTAACTATAACTTGTTCCTTTAACTTCATTTGATAAAGACAAAATCTACACTGAAATCCTTGTATGGTGATCTCACACGTTTCTCTTACAGTCTGACAATTTTCTTAATGGTCCCTTACAGATTTTTAACAGCATACTAAAAACTCCTACTATTCAAAGATCAGTCATGAGCTTCATTGTAACGTTTCATACAATGTATTCCTTCCTCCCATACTCCTCAAAGTTTATTTTTTCAAAGAACTGATAACTCGATACCTGACAGTTGGATCCACAGTGATAAATTTTATGTCTAAAATGACTTAATTAATACAATTCCAAACTGCCATTAGCAAAGATCACACAGAGTGTAACATGGTACTTTCAGTGCTATCTTCTGGAAGAACAGTTAGGTCTCCAAAGCATGGGAGTTCAAACGGGCCATTTAAACAGGCAGATTATCAATGACTAATGTACTCAATGGGAGGCCTACAGGTCAAGATATTCAGTGATTAAGTGGCCTACGTACACCTTACAACTTTTCTGTAAGATATTTTCAAATTTCTTACAGATTTTTTCAAACATCAAATATAAGAAAAAGCCTATTTTAAAAGTCTCTTAAGGGGCTTTCCTGGTGGCACAGTGGTTGAGAGTCTGCCTGCTGATGCAGGGGACACGGGTTCATGCCCCAGTCCAGGAAGATGCCACATGCCGCGGAGCGGCTGGGCCCGTGAGCCATGGCCGCTGAGCCTGTGCGTCTGGAGCCTGTGCTCCACAACGGGAGAGGCCACAACAGTGAGAGGCCCGCGTACCGCAAAAAAAAAAAAAAAAAGTCTCTTAAGTATTTAAATGGTCTCTGAATTATCTGTAGGAAGCACTTGTATAGAGTTTGATATATGTATCCACCATTAAATCCAAATCATGTTTTATATCAAAATTTATGTTAAGCAAAGCCAAGTTACTTGAATTTTGGTCTGTCAAAGTGTTTCTCAGGTATGCTTTGAGATGCTTTTGCCCATTTTCTTAGCATTCATTCTCAACCTTCATCACAGGAAGAATACATAGGACCTTCAGCAATGCATAAACATTAGGAAAAAACTTGATGTCTAGCCGATGAAGGGCTTCATAAATAGTGGTGGAAGTTTTATATCTTTCCCTCTGTGTTTCCACTTGATTCTCCAACACTGCAGCTCAGCAGACAGCGTGTCAGGATTAGGTAAATCACTTCTGTACATGTCAGCATGACGCTCCTCTGATGTATTAAATTTGAGCTGTCCCATGACAGAGGGTACCAGAGATAAGCATTTAAGAGCTTTGAGGTGCTGTTCTAAGAATATATCTTTCAGTTCCTGAATAATGTGTTCCACTGTTGGAACACTTAGAGTTTCTTTATAGTAACTCTCAGAGGTTAGCTGAGATTCCAGGTTACTATGCTGAGCTCTGTGAAATTTCCCTGGGAGTTTCATCTGAATACCAAGTTTGGTTGCCAAATTTGTGGCTTCCTCAAACGAAAGTTCATGATAAACTTCGATATTTTCCATCACTTCATTTAGTGAATGCAGTACTGCAGTCAAACTGCTGGCCTCAGAGAAGACATCAGAGGTTTGCCCCTGAAGATTTTTCCCAAAGGCTCTTGTAAAACATAGAACATTTTTAAGAACAACAATGGTAACGATGAAATCACAATCTGTTACCACACTACAGAGTACAAATGCTAGGCCAGCTATACAGTTATTCCATTTAACATTTGTGTCATTATTTATACCATCTAAACACAAAACAAGTGCTTGTAGGAGGTCCACTAAGATTTCAAAAGCATCATGCCTGCCTGTCCACTGAGAATGGCAAATTTCCTTCAGTTCTATGCCTGTTTCTTCATTGTTCTGAAAGAAGACAGAAATTATATTATCAAACTCTAAAATCAGTTCTAGGGGCTTCCCTGGTGGCGCAGTGGTTGAGAGTCCGCCTGCCGATGCAGGGGACACGGGTTCGTGCCCCGGTCCGGTAGGATCCCACATGCCGCGGGGCGGCTGGGCCCGTGAGCCATGGCCGCTGAGCCTGCGCGTCCGGAGCCTGTGCTCCGCAACAGGAGAGGCCACAACAGTGAGAGGCCCGCGTATCACACAAAAAAACTAAAATAAAAAAAAATAAAAGCAGTTCTAGTGATCGATGGAAAAAAGAACAAACTTCCTCAGCTGTTCCTAATGCGACAGATACTCCCATAACAGGCACTGATTTCGCCAACCACATATTTAAGGCACAGGAAGAGCAGAGTGTGTAGGTAGCTTGGGGATATTTCCCTAAAAGTCTAGAAGCAACAACTTTCATTTTGGAAGAAAATCCACTGGGCACAATGTAAGCCTGGCCACGACAGTACTCCATGTTTAATCCCCACTTCTCAGTTATCATAGTGTGAAATTTCACAGCCAAAATTTCTGCATCAGCTTCATAAGGCAGAAAGCCCACAAATTCCTCTCTCAGATTGTGAGCTTCATCAACAAATCTCACCAACACAGGCAGGTGCTCTTCCCCTGCTATGTCCACCACATTGTCAGTGATGATGGAAAAGAAGTGAGTCTCTCACTTCCCTGAGGGTCTCTTCCTGAATGCAGTTCTCACAGATCTCTATCATCTGTTTCTGTTGTGTTTGTGAACAGAACAATGTGTTAACTGCTGTTGTCTCAAAGCGCTTTCTCAGAACCTCTTCACCAGAATTGATCTGGCACTCCAGCAGTGCTTGAAAGTTATCAGGAGTAAAGAGACCTTCTGGGATTTCATCAGCTTCATGTCCATCCAGAGGTATGTTCTGTTTTCCCATAAGAATCAACTTTCAGGGCTTCCTTGGTGGCGCAGTGGTTGGGAGTCCGCCTGCCGATTCAGGGGACACGGGTTCGTGCCCCGGTCCGGGAAGATCCCACAT